CTGACTTCGCACTTAACAACATGATGGCTGGAACTATGGTTGCCTTGGCAGGGTCAGATCACATGATTTCAATGCCCTCATATGACCAGTGGGCAGGACATTCAACACCCGTGAATTAGAAATACCTATTTGATGTTTCTCCATCATTACATGATTTTATTGCTAAAAAAATCACAGGAGGATAGAACTTTCATACAGGGACACTTTTTAAATGTGTGAATGTAATTTTGTAGTTATAAAAAATTTTAAATAAGAGACTTGGTAGGCTTCAAACTGTTAAAATATTAAAATGTAACATTTAAAAGTTACTTTGCAAGAAAAACTGATTTTGATGAGGACAAATGGATTTTTATTAGCTGAATTTCAAGCAAAATCATTTGCCTTCTTAGTAGGTGGAATGAAAATCAAGTGTCAAAGTTTAATAACTATAACTAATGATGTTTTGTCATTGTTGATAAATGCCATTGAGTCACTTCAAACTCATAGAGACCTTATAGAGTTTCCAAGGCATGGATGGTGGGTTTGAAGCACCGACCTTGTTGTTAGCAGTCCAGTGCTTATCCTACAGTGCCACACCAGAACTGTATTCCATTTAAGTCAACTTGTCCTGTTGAGAAACTTTTCCCAGGGATAGCCATCAATCTAAGCTTAGATATAAAATGACCTGAAACCCAGGTCATCAAAGTAGTGTATTCCAAAGCACTAGACCAAGATGTAAAGAAAAAGACATACCCAATCACAATGCTCCCATTTAGTTTAAAAATAATCTTTGTGAGCACAGACACTGTGTATTTCTAATAAAAGGTCTTCCTCTGTATTAGTTATTACGTTTTGTAACATTCATAATACAGAAGTATTTATCATATCAGCATCCATAGATTAATACAAATAGGGTTTTCAAACATTCTATTGATTGGTGTACAAACTTTTCAAACCGTTTGAAAGGCCCCTGGATGGTGTCATCTACTAGCCCTGGTGTGGCGCTTTAGGATAAGAATTGGGACCACAAGATTGGTGGTGGCTCTTCAAAAACCCTATACAGGGTCCTTTTGAGTCTGAGCCACTGGAAGGCATTTAACAATAGCAGTTTGGAAGCGGAAATGCCTGGCTACTGCCCACCTGCGATGGTCAACGCTTGGGTCACCATGGGCTAGAATCCACCGAAAGGCAGGCGGTGGCTAAAACTTAATCCCCCATCCGGAAACCAGTTCTGCAGGGCGCACTACGCAGGAAAACAAACCCGGCCCCAGGCCAGCGCTGGGCGGGCACGGCGGCCGCAGGGCAGGGCCGGGCCTTAGGGTGCCGCGGGCGGGGCCCTCCTCCCGGCCCAGACTGCACCCGCCGCCCCCGGAGTCCGCCGCGGCGCAGATCTAGAGCATCCCTAGCTCAGCGCGGCAACAGCAGCAGCGGCGGAGACTCCAGGTACGGGGCTGGGGCGAAGGGTCCTCAGTCCCCGGGGTGACCTCTCGTCCCTAGAGCTCCTGGGCAGCGGGGAGGCCGGACGGATGCAGGAGGGCGGCCGGGGTCTATAGGGTGCCGCGCCTTCTGCTCCCCAGCCGGGTCCCGGTGAGGTCAGGCTGGCCAGGGAGCGCCAGGCCCAGAAATCCGGCGCCGGCGTAGCGCTGAGACCGCGGCGGACTTACGCCGCTGCTCCGCAATTCGCCAGGCTTAGGGGGCGTGGCTGTCATTCAGGCCTTGGGTTTGTTGCTCGAGGTGAGTGGGCGGGCACTTTCCGAGTTGGAGCCGGCAGTGCAGCTGGAGGACCTGACGTAGATTTTAGCTTCATAAGGAACCCGAGCACTTGAGTGAGTGCAGGGTGCTTGTTGCCCCACTGCTGCTTGGTTTGTTAGTAACTTTGTTCCTTCTTTTTCTATATCACTCGTTCCCTTATTCCTTCCTTTCCCCATTTCTCTCTCCTTTCTTTCCTCCCTTGCCTCTTCCTCCCCACAATTTTCATTTTTTTGTCTTCATTGGCTGTGTCTTCTCAATGTTAAACAATACTGCTTTGCGGGGTTTCCCCTCACTTCCCAGCTGCAAGAGTCTCTTTCATTAAAGAACTCACCCCTAGATCTGCACCGGCCCCTTTCCTGGTGGAGGTGGCCCTAGGCTCAGGCTTCACCTGGCCATTCTGGGCCTTATGTGGCCATCCACCTGCACCCCTGACTGCTCTCCAGTCCTGCCTGGCTTTTCTCGGACCTCACCTTGTTGCTCTGGGCCTCACCTGGCTGCCGGTCTGCTCTGCTTTCCAGCTGCCATGGCTATGGCACAGATTCCCCAGAATCTATGGAGATTCCCCAGAATTAGGCCATTTACATATGATTAGAATCTCCTGGCATCCATTTGCTGATCACTCCCAGTCTTTGCCCCTAGAACTCAGAGGGGTTGTAACCAGACTTACAACACCCCTGGGCTGTCTTTGATTACAGGTTCAGTTGGTAGGCACCTCAAATCTGGAATGTATCACCTTCCCCATTCCAAGCTGACTCCTCATTTAACCAGTTGATGGCTCATGACCCATCCGAAGACACCCTTAGCTGGGAGCCCTGACTCCTCCACCTGCTCCCTCACTCACCTACCATGCCCAGCCATCCAGCTTGCAGATCCCAACTCCTCCCTCTTCCTCTTGTCACTGCCCCAGTAAGCGTCATTTGTTGTTGTTAAGGGCCATGGAGTCCATTCCGAATCATAACGACCCTGTATAGGGTTTCCTAGGTGTGACTTGAACCACCAGCCTCCTTGCAGTTCAAACTGACCTTGCAGTCCAGTGCATTAACACATAGTGTCACGATAGTTTTCTTAAATTCCAAAATGCTTACACCAAACATTTGCTTAAAATCCATGCAAATTCAAGGCTTTCCAGACTTTAAGATTAAGTCCAAAGTCACAAATGTTCCATGACATACTGGAAACTGCAGATCACACTCTTCATGTTGCATCCGTTGTATCAGCAGATCCCTCAGCCTAGAATTTAGCCCCTTCCCCACTTAGTGGCTACAGAACTCCTGTCCAACCTGTTAGAACCAGGCTTCCTGGGCGTCTGTAGAGTTTGTTCCGTGTGTCTGTGGGTTTCCAAGGAGCAGCTGGTGGATTTGAACTGCGGATCTTGTGGTTAGCAGTCCAGTACTAATCCAACAGTGCCCCACCTGGACTCGTTATTGTTAAAGTGCTGTCGAGTCAATTCTGACCCATAGCGACCCTGCATAGTTTCCGAGGAGCAGCTAGTGAGCTTGAACTGCCCACTTGCAGTTCAGATGGCTTTGCATTCTGCCTCATTAACCCACAGCAACACACTGGGAGTCTTTGTTGTTATTAAGTGCTATCGAGTTGGTTCCGACCCATAGCGACCTTGTATAGGGTTTCCGAGGAGTGGCTGGTGAGCTTGAACCGGCATCCCTGCAGTTCAAAATGGCTTTGCAGCTGGCGCATTAACCCACAGCCCCACACCAGTTGTCTTTATTGTTGTTATATGCCGTGGAGTGGGTTCCCACTCATAGCAACCCTGCCCGGGGTTTCCGAGGCTGTAACTCTTTACGGGAGCAGAAAGCCTCAACTTTCTCCCATGGAACAGCTGGTGGTTTCGAACTGCTGACCATGAGGTTAACAGCCCAATTCATAACCACTACGCTACCAGAGCTCCTTCCAGGAGTTTGTTGTTGTTGTTGTTAGGTGCCATCGAGTCGGTACCGACCCATAGCGACCTTATGCACAGCAGAACAGAACGAAACACTGCCCGATCCTGGGCCAATCTCACTACTATTGCCACACTTGAGTCCATCGATGCTGTCACTTGGCCAATCCTCTTTTTCTCTGACCCCACCCCCTTACCAAACATGATACCCTTCTCCAGCCACTGGTCCCTCCTGACAATATGCCTGGGGTATGAGAGATGAAGTTTGGCCATCCTGGCCTCCAGGGGGCGCTCTGACTACACGCAGCACCTTGGAAATCGTTGGTGCAGAGCACAACCCTAACTTGCAACATGTATTTCTGTCAGTGTGGGGGCTCCTAGGGGTGAGCTCCAGGGCATTTAGTTTTCACTTTCTTCACCCCAAATGTAAGGCGCATTCTAAGTAAATGTTCCTTGAATAAATTCACTTCAGGGAGTGTGTGTGGGGAGAGGGAGAAGTGGAGTGGGAACTCACAGGGGACCCAGCCCAGCCAACCCCACTCACTGATGTACGGTGAATTCTGACTCACAGTGACCCTGATGTGCAGAGTAGAGCAGCTCCGTGGAATTTCCCAAACGATCTGTGTTTAGAGGTACAGCCAGCGTCATCTTTCTCCTCTGGAGTAGCTGTGGGTTTGAACCACTGACCTGCGGTTAGTGGCCCAATGCTTAACTGCCAGGACTCCTTTCACCAACTCACAGAAGTCTCCCAGTGACCCATGTGGTACAGGAGGAGGTACTGGCTGTCAGATCTGTAAAGCCACGTCCTTGTCACTGGCTTTCGACCTTACAGTGTTTGTAGGACACTGTGGAATTGTAACATTGGCGCTCATAGGCATTTCTGTGTCTTATTGGAATCAGTGCCTTTTCACATGTACTGGGGACAGCCTGTTTGTTTAAACTCAGAACCCTCTTGGAAGTGAAATTGGAGCACCATGCTGACCCAGAGCGGACCTCCCAGCCCTGCCTGACCATGGCTGGGAGCTGGGGTGAGGGGAAGGATTTCCGTGCCTCTTCCAGCTTCCAGAAGCTCCCTGCATCTAGATTCATGATCCCTGCATCGCTCTGCTTCCAAGGTCCTGTCTCCTTCCCTGACTCTGACACTCCCACTAGGGGTCCACCCACATCACCAGGGAGCCTCCCCATCTAAGGGCCTTCATTCAGTCACATCTACATATTCCTGTTTGCCAAGTCGGGGGCTAGGATGGGGACATCTTTAGGGGGCATTGTTGTGCCTGTCACCTGTGGTGGTACCTACTAGCAGGGTACCAGTGACTCTGTGTGGATGAGAACTCATGTACTTACGCTTTGTGCTCTGGCTCAGATCTTCCCAATGGATCCTCTCTGTGAAGCCAACGGCACTTTTGCCATCAGCTTATTGAAGATGTTGAGTGAAGAAAACCCATCACAGAACGTGTTTTTCTCCCCGCTGAGCATCTCCTCTGCCCTGTCCATGGTCTTCATGGGGGCAAAAGGAAACACTGCCACCCAGATATCCCAGGTACGCAAGCCTGCCTGTCACCAAAGCAGCACACATAATACCAGCTGGCCTTCAGCTGGTGCCTGGCGACCCCATAAGTGTCAGAGTAGAACTGTGCTTTTGGTTTTCAGTGGCTGAATGTTTGGGAACTGGATCACCAGGCCTTTCTTCTGCAACACCTCCGAGTGGGACTCCCCTACTTTCATAGAGTTGTTTTTTCCCCAAGCTGATGAAAGTCAGTGTGACCTGTCAGTGTGAGGAAGAATACTGGCGTGATAGAGAAAGAGCAGAAATGAATGGGAAGGAAAATAGTGTAGGACAGACAAGCTCCCCATAGTGTTTGTGGGAGTAAGCAAGTGGTTTCTCTAGAGGAAACCAGCAAACCCAAACCCACTGCCATTGAGTTGACTCCGAGTGGCCAATCCTATAGGACAGAGGAGAACTGCTCCAAAGGGTTTCCAAGGCTATGAATCTTTACCGAAGCAGACTGCCTCATCCTTCTCCCATGGAAGCAGCTGGTTGGCTTGAACCACCAACCTTTTGGTTAGCAGTCCACTGTACCACCAGGGCTCCTTCTCTAGATTAAAGAAAACAACAAAAATCAATAAACTAAAGCAAAACAGCATCTTGGATAAACCAGGCAATACTATAATTCCATCCCACAATAAGACAAAGCATTTGAGCTTTTTCTTGTTTTAAACTTGTGCTAAAATGCTTCATCAAATTGAAATGCAGCTGTGTTGTTGGACCTTTTTATAAAATGTATGCCTTTTAGTCTGTAACTATGGGCTAAGCATTGGGCTGGTAATTGAAAGATTGGCAGTTCAAAGCCACCAGCTGCTCTTAGGGAGAACGATGAGGCAGCCTGCTTTGTAAAGACTTACAGCCTCAGAAACCCTATAGGGCAGTTCCACTCCATCGTACAGGGTGGCTAGGAGTCAGGATCAGCTGAACAGCAGTGGTTTTACATTTATTTTCCCTTTGTTTAATTATGCACAAATGAAAGAAGACTTCAACACAGATATATATATATATACTTTTATTTTCTGGAGTTATTTAGAAAATAATTAGTTAATTAGAAGTAATATTTAGTTAGCATAGTGGTTACGAATCGGGCTGTGAACCTTAAGGCCAGCAGTTCGAAACTACCAGCCGCTCCACGGGAGAAAGATGAGGCGGTCTGCTCTCGTAAAGATTTACAGCCTCAGAAACCCTGTACAGGGTCGCTATGGGTCGGAAACGACTCGACGGCACTTAACAACAACAACAAATATTCAGTTACTTGAGGCAATATATGAGGATATTCTATTTTGGAAAAAGGGAATTAATAGATATTTTTCATAAACAGGGCCCCCTGCAGTTGTTTCTAAGAGGTCCCTGATAAGTCAAATTCCATCTGGGGCTGTTGTTGTTGTTGTTGTTGTATGCTGTGGAGTCGGTTCCGACTCATAACGACCCTGTACAGGGTTTCCAAGGCCGTAAATCTTTACAGGAGCAGAAAGCTTCATCTTGCTCTCACGGAAGAGCTGGTAGTTTTGAACTGCTGACCATGAGATTAGCAGCCCGATTCGTAACCACTACGTTACAAGAGCTCCTTTCCATCTGGGGTAGGAGGGAGATAAAAGAGCATCATTCATCCCAATCTGTACAGTGGCTAATTAAACACTTTCATTTTCTTTTCTGTTCTTTCTTGTGTCCCCTGGGGCCATATTAGTTTAATTCCACTTATTTTTTTTTTTTTTTCTGTGAATTTTCACATCCACGCCTTTCTGGCATGGCTAAATCTGCTAGATCTGTGTTGCCACCTACAGGTGACTTGGCCTCTTCACAGCCACTTGGCTAGGCCTGCAGAGTTTGAATTGTCACAACTGACAGATGTTACTGACACCTAGTGGGTGGCCACCGGGAATGCTGCAAAACATCCTAGCAGGCAAGCTGGAACTGAGTCAGTTCTGATTCCTGGAGATGCCATGTGATAGAGTAGAACCACTCTTAACCCAAACATATCTTTCCCCAGTGGTAATGTCGGCTGTATTCAGACTGCCTACCCTCAGGTCAGTTTAAGACAAGCTGTGTGTACCAGGGCAAACCCCATAACAAAGAATTGCCTGGCCCCAAAAGACAGTGGTGAGGGGACTGAGAAACTGAGTGCTGGACGTTTCACCCAGTGTCCCTAAGACGGTGACTTATGTGATGTACAGGTCCTAGATTAGCTCAGAGACAGCTCTTTGGGGGAGGAGAAGGACGGAGCTAACCATTCATTGGTACTGTTTTCTATCAACAGGCTCTTTGTTTAAACCAAGGTGGAGATGTTCACCAAGGGTTCCAGTCGCTTCTCACTGCAGTCAACAAGCCCGGTGTCCACTGCTCGCTGAGAACTGCCAACAGGCTCTTTGGAGAAAAGACATGTAATTTTCTTTCAGTAAGTAGCTTTCCGACGATGATGGGAAGGACATTGAAGATAAGAGGTAAATTACAGAGGAGCAGAGAATAATTTATAACTGATTCCCTTAATTGTCTGCTTGAAGTTATGGTTTTGTAATTTTTTTTTTATTTGCATTTTAAGATTACTTCTGAATGATGTCTTTTAAAAATGATTATTGATAAATGTCTTCCATAGGCCTACCTCAATGTGCCTGTCTTTCCACACCCTGCAGACAACACAAGCTTAGCTCTCCTAGCTGCTCCCCGTCTGACTCTCTGGCTGCTCTTCAGGTTACGGCTGAGTCCGCCTGTTGTTGTTATGTGCTGTGGAGTCAGTTCTGACTCATAGTGACCCTGTACAGGATTTCTGAGGCTGTAAATCTTTACAGGATCAGCAAGCCTCATCTTTCTCATGCGGAACAGCTGATAGTTTCGAACTGCTGACCTTGTGGTTCGCAGCCCGATTCGTAACCACTACGCTACCAGAGCTCCTTGAGTCCGCCTATTAAGGTCTCTTAAATTTACCTCCTCTTCCAAATTGCCGTTGCCTGGGCTCTGAATTTTGCTATATTGTCTACACTATCATTTTGTATTGTTTCCGGACTGGTTGGTCCAAGTCCTGGCTGGTGCTTCCTTCTGTTGCGTAAATCCACACCACCGACTGAACATTATTGTCGTTGTAAGTGCTGTCCTACAGTAGTTCCAAAATAATCGGAAATAACTCGCGAAAATGCGATTTTAAATTTAGTAGCTTCTGTTTGCTTCAGGTTGCTGTGCTGCTGTAGGATCAACACTGGACTGCTAACTGCAAGGTTGGCGGTTCAAACCTACCGGTCATTCCTTGGAAACCCTAGACAGGGTGTCTGTGAGTCAGCACCAACTCAATGGCAGCCAACGACAAGCAACATTTCCTTCACCATGTAACTCTACAGTGCCTTAGTCCAGTAAAACCTTGCCATAGACAATAAGTGAACTCCAGAAACAACTCCACCACATAATGTGAAAGATGATGTTGTTGTGAGATGAATGAAATCATTAGAACAAACCTGGGTGGGAGTTCAAAGGAATCTTCTGGGAAATTCAGATACCAGCCAACTAACTGGCTGCTGTCCCATGGAAGTGGTTTGTTCTCTGCTTAAATACCTTTGGGGGTGACTCCAGAAGTTTCCTGGTTAGTCGATGCTTGTTTTTAAACGTCAGTCTGACTTGAACTGTTGTTCTTGGAGAATATCGGGTACACAGAGACCCACCCTCCACCCTTCTTGGTTGCTTGACTACTCCACCCTTGTACATTCTCTTTGAGAACAAGTAGTGGGTGGATCATAGGAGTCAATTGCCAAGCATGTTTATACCTGAAGTCAAGTGATTATGGGGTGAGGTGTCTCAGGATTTCAATCCATTTCTGATTTGGCCCCAAGGATTCATTCAAGGTTCATTTCCTGTCATTCTTAATGCCTTCTCCTGTCCTCTCTTTACGTCTTCTCTGTCCCTCTCCCTCACACACAGTGTATTCCAGACCTATCATACAGATTCCCTTCCCCCAAGACCTTTGTTGTTCCATGTTCTTCCAAACTACCATGGAGACCCAGATCTCAAATGCTGCTTTTTTTTTTTTTTTTTTTTTTAAATTTTTGTCCACATGGAGAACCAACCATATGATTGATTTCTTAACTATCTAGTTTTATTCTGAAGCCTTTCCATCATACAAGAGATATGTTTCAGACACCATGGTTGGTACTGGTGATTAAAGAGTGAGTGAAAGAGAGGTATGTTGTCTCATGGGTGAGACAGAAAGCCACACAGAATGTCAATGTGGAGTTTAAGTGCTTGACACGGATGATGCCCGTGGCTGGATGCTCCCATGTTCCTGTTGTCCTTGTACATGCCTCTTTGTGTGCGGTGTCTCCTCACGAGTTCGCCAGTGAGCTCAGGTCTCCCACCGTGTGGAGTCCCGTAGCGAGCATAGTGCCAGGCACAGACTGGGTTGTCCGTAATATTCTGTTGTTGTTGTTAACGGAAGAAGTGAGACTCCTGGTGTGGCGCTGTGGGATCAGCACTGGACTGCGAACCACAAGGTCAACAGTTCAAACCCACCAGCTGCTCCTCTGAAATCCTATGCAGCGTTGCTCTGAGTAGGAACCGACTCGATGGCACTTAACAACATTGAAGAAATGCAGTTTGACCTGTGTAGAAGTATGTGAAGAGAGGGGGTAAAAAAATGTTTTTAAAATACGGCAACCTTTGTGGAACGAAGCCCAAACTGAACACTTTGCTTTTTGTAGGCCTTTAAGGAATCTTGTCACAAGTTCTATAAGGCCGAGTTAGAAGAGCTGTCCTTTGCTAAAGACACAGAAGCATCCAGGGAACATATAAATGCCTGGGTCGCAGACAGGACTGAAGGTGAGAGATTTCGGGATCTGAAGTTATGAAGGGAGGAGGGGCCACGGTGGCTGGGTGGCCTGTGTGGGCTGACACTGTGCCCCGGAGAGCAGGTCATTTGTAAGTTGTTGGCTGCTAGCGTTCAAGGGGTTTCCAGGCTAGCAACAGAGTTCTGTCATTTCCCTTGGGCTTGTCACACCATGAAGTCTGAAAAATGCTTAAACCTAGTGTTCACGTGCCAGGCCCTCTCCCTGCTGGACAGTGCTGGAGAGTCCCTGAAAAATGCCTCCTCTTTGGGTCGTTTGTGCTCCGAGGACAGAATGACCTTCGGCTGAGTCACAGCGTAGACCCTACAACGTTTCATGTTAGCCCCTCTGGTGAATTGGAAAGCACTCAGATTTCATCTGCAGCGTGACAGTGGCTGAGAACAGTGCTCTGTGAATTGGCCCCAGACTCTGGTTTTGGTGCCGTTGCTGTGGGGTCTCGGGGTCCCCTGACCAGACCATGTGCCATTTCACTGGACATTGCTGCCTGATCTCCCCTACGTAGGAAAGGATATACCCAGATCATTTAACACCTAACTGAGGGTCTTCCCCGAAATAGATTTAAAATCCCAAATAAAGCTATTGCCCTCAAGTCGATTGTGCCTCCTAGTGACCCTGTTGGGCACAACAGAACTGCTCCGTAGGGTTCTCCCAGTGCTGGGTCTTTGTGACAGTGAACGGCCCCATCTTTGTCCCTTGGAAAGGCTACTGGGTTCAATCTGCCCACCTTTTGCTTAGCATCCAAGCACTTATCCACTGCATCACCAGGACTCCTAGTCCAAAAATCAGGGGTGAAATTCTATCACACGTTTATTTACGGACCGGCCAAGCACTCACAGCTTCCTCCTTCAGCCTTTACTGCGCCCACAGTTATACTGAAAGCTAGCGACAGAAGAATCCTGGAAGGGAAGGCTTTTCCTTTACCACACACCATCTGTCCAGTGGTCATTTGTCCTCTGGCTGATCCAGCAGGACTGTCACCTAAGGGACCAGAGGCGTCTCCCCACTCTCCCTTCTTACCCAGTCATGCCCCCCTTCTCCATGGTTGCGCACACTCCCATTGACCACCCACCTGTGTCCCAGGATAGTAGAACTGGCGGGAACCTTGGGGAACACCTTGTTTCCGCTCCCATTTGACAGCTCGACCGAGGTCCCGCTATCCCATCTCCCTAATTCATTCGCTCTATCACCTGTGCCTACCTTTTGTTTTTAATCTCACAATAGGAATAAAGTTCTCCCATATCCTTTACAGGGAAGATTTCAGAGGTTCTGGGTGCTGGAACCGTGGACCCCCTGACTAAGCTGGTCCTTGTGAATGCGATCTATTTCAAAGGGAAGTGGAAGGGGCAGTTTGACAAAAAACACACAAGAGGAATGCCCTTTAAAATCAACCAGGTAGGGGTACATTTTTCAGGTAATCCTGTTAACTTTCTTAAAGTAAAAAAAATGGGGACTATTTTAAATTAAAAAAAAAAAAAATTCAAAATCTTTATCCGTCTTTGAATGAATTCCATGCCCCTTATGTATCTTTTACTTGGTAGGTTGTTGTTGTTGTTAAGTGCCGTTGAGTCGGTTCCGACCCATAGTGACCCTGTACAGGGTTTCCAAGGGTGTAAATCTTTATGGGAGTAGAAAGCCTCATCTTTCTCCCGTGGAGTGGCTGGTAGTTTCGAACCGCTGACCTTAAGGTTCGCAGCCCGATTCGTAACCACTACGCTACCAGAGCTCCTTTACTTGGTAGGTAGGAAAAAAAACTCAAATCACTGCTGTGTTGTTAGTTCTGCTTTTCCATTCTTGATAACTGCATTTTCCACCTTTGGTCATATCATTTGGATTAGAGTTTTTCTAAGCCCAGGGAACGTGTATGATGCCATAAGAGTCTATATTTACATAGACATTTTCTTAGAATGTCAGGGACAACAATGATGATTTTTGTCTTAGAATTTGTGCTATGCAAGCCAGGGTCCCAGACCAGTTCAAGATGATTTAGTAGTTGCGGTTGTAAATGTCGTAAACAAGGGCCACTTCTGTGCTGCCTAGTAACCATATCCATTGCCTACGATGTTTTGATCATCGTAGGAAACAAAGATGGCGGCCAACCACACCACTTTGAATGTGTGCCATTCTCCAGAGTCCTGCCAATAACCCAATCTTCAGAAGCAGGCTTATGAAACTTTTGGGAAGAATGACTAGCAGGCTTTTTGGAGAGATCATTCTTGGCAGGACTATGGAGAGCAACACACATCCAAAGCCTGCCATCTTTGAGCAGGCCACATCTGTTTCTTGTTGTTGTTAAGTGTTGTCAAGTCAGTTGTTTCTCGTAGCAACCCTGTATTGGGTTTCCAAGGAGTGGCTGGTGGGTGTGACCTGCCAACCTTGCTGTTAGAAGTCCAGAGCTTATCTTACAGTGCCACACCATCTGTTTCTTACTAGGATCAAAACACCCTAAGGAACACATACATGGCCCTTGCTTACATAGGTCAGTTACTGATTTGAAGCCCTATTTTAAACACCAGAACAGCAACAACAATAACAACAATTAAAAAAAAACAAAAAACCCAAACATGGGAGTTGATGCTAAAGCTAGCCTTGCAAACACTTTGCTATATATTCCTTCTTGAATGTGACCATGCCTAGGGTCAGCACCCATGAACTTGGAATTCAGCCTCCATCAGCTGAGAATACCATGTTACTCAGAGATATAAAAGCATTCAGTGTGTTTGATGCAAGCTTTAAAAGTAGCTGAGCTGAGACATCTTATCAAAGTCTCTTTCCCAAGAAAATCAAACTCATCAAACCAATTATAGAATTGGGCACCATTTTCCAAAAGGATCCTTTGGTTTTGATAAGTCCAAAGACCTGAGTATTACTTAATCCTCCATTAAACTTGGAGAAATAATTTCTAATTACAAGGCCCATGAGAGTGACTTTCTATGCATCTTCTCAAAGTAGAAGAAACAAAAAACTCTTTCCAAAACAATGTACAAGCTTTATGTCTCTTTATTTGCCAATCCATTGTCTGTCTCCTGGTAAGAATATTTGATATGCTAAAACAATAAATTTGGTTCTCGGTACTAAGAACTCTGGGTGTGGCACTGTCAGATAAGTACTGGCCTGTGAACCACAGGGTTGGCAGTTCAAACTCACCAGCTGCTCCTCGGAAACCTGGTTCAGGGTCACTATGAGTTAGAATTGACTTGATGGCACTTAACAACCACAACCTTTCCTCTCATGTTTTCATTAGGAGAAGAAGACGGTGCAAATGATGTTTAAGGAGGCAGCATTTAGGCTGGGGTATGTGGACGAGGTGCACACTCAGGTCCTGGAACTGCCCTATGAGGGGGAAGAGCTGAGCATGGTCATCCTCCTTCCCGATGACAACACCGAGCTCACGGTGGTAAGCCCCTCCGCAGTGACTTCTACACATCTGTGTATTCCCGAACATCTGTGAGCTCCTTTCTTTCAGTGTATCCACTCTATAACACTTGAGGAGTTCTGGTGTGACGCTGTAGGATAAACATTGGTCTGCAGGGTCAGTTTGGACCATGAGGTTGGAGGTTCAAACTCACCAGCTGCTCCTTGGAAACCCTATACAAGATCGCTATGAGTCAGAACCCAGTTGATGGCAATTAACAACCACCACCACCACCCAGCATCATTTGAGGTGTTTGCAGTTTAGGGATTTTAACAAATTGTACTGGATCAATGCCACTGTCTGTCCTTTGAGCACAAGTGTACACATTTCAGCTGTGTAAATTAGTATCAATTGGTTGGGAGAATTTTCTAAAAAGCATTTGAAGGGAGTTTGGCATGTGGTCCTTTTTTATTTTAAATCTCTGCTTGTTCAGTTGTTTAATTGCTGCTTTAGTCTTGTAGCCCCAGGATGGAGAAAGATAAGAATTGGAGGAAATATTGGTGTTTATAAGAAGAAAAATAGCTGTAGCTTGTCTTAAGTTAGATGCGGCCATCTGGCTGCACATGGCATGGGTAGAGCAGGGAGTACAAAGCGTGGGAGGACATGAAGGGACAATGTCCCCAAGCTACTAAGATTTGACTCTTTGTCCCTCCAGCTGGAGAAGGCGCTCACATATGAGAAGTTCAGAGCCTGGACAAGTTCAGAAAAGATGAAGACACAGAAAGTCCAAGTTTTCCTCCCACGGTTAAAGCTGGAGGAGAGTTATGATTTGGAATCTTTTCTTCGGGGTTTAGGGATGACTGATGCATTTGAGGAAGTCAAGGCTGACTTTTCTGGTATGTCAAGCAAGAAGAACGTGCCCGTGTCCAAGGTGGCACACAAGTGCTTTGTAGAGGTCAACGAGGAGGGTACAGAGGCGGCTGCGGCCACTGCAGTGGTCAGGAACGCCCGGAGCGTCCGCTTGGAGCCGCGGTTCTGTGCAGACCACCCTTTCCTCTTGTTCATCCGGCACCTGGAGACCAATAGCATTCTGTTCTGTGGCAGGTTCTCCTCGCCCTGAAGAGTGCTGCCAGGAAAACCTGTGTGACCAAACCCCCAGGGCCCGAATCCAAAATAAAGTGTGTGCTCCTGGCGGTCTAAGAATGTCTTGGCTGAACTTTTCTCAGCCACTGGGAATAGCAGGCTTCCAAGGTGTGAAGTTTGGGCCCTAGAAGGGGAAGTTCATTTTGAAGTGTTTGCAGTGTCAGATTACCCAGTAAACATGCTAAGCACAGGCATCCTTGTGCTTACTTGCTAATCAGTAGTGAACAGTTTCACATTTTTTTCACCACAACCACGATTCCAAGTCTGGCTGGCTGGCATCTGTCTTCTCTCCCAAACCCATTGCCCTTCTGATAGAATCAAAGCCTCTTTTTAAATGTGTAATTCCTGATAGGGATGGAGTGCCCAGTAACCAGAGGTAAGCACAGGCTTCCTTGTGCTTAATTCCTAATCTGTAGTGAATCATTTCACCACAGATTGGTATATCTCTTCAGCCGAAGTCCAATGTCGCTCCCTTGTTGGGTCAAATTAGATGTTCAGCACAATCTCTGAGAAACTTAGCAGACCCACTAGTGATCACAGGCGTGTGGTACCCAGAACTCTCGGGGACCCCTGTACGGTGCTGTGTTCAGTGACCGTGGTCAGCCAGTCCCTGGTGCTTAGAGAGGTCCTGTGAAGATGCAGGCCACTGGGAGAGAGTTAGACTTTCAGGAGAGTCACTTCACCTGGGGCCAGTTGGGCTCCAAGAGTAAGGAGGTAACTGTTCCACTGAGTGAGGGTAGTGTCTTGTGGGACATCACGCAGACCCCCTCTCCTATTGTCCCCACTTTGCCTGAGAGGGTGGGGGATGCAAGAGGACCCAAATCCCTGAGACCCTTTCCTTCTTCAGCTGCTATGCTTGGCTCTGGTAAGTTTGATCTACCAAAATAAGTGTACAACAGGCCCAAAAGTTGCTGTTTGGGCCCATTGTACCACCCTGGGGTCCTGGGGACTGGTTAACAGTGGATGAAGATACATCTGATAGTTGTTGTTGTTATTAAGTGCTGTCGAGTTGGTTCTGACTATAGTGACCCTGTATAGGATTTCCAAGGAGCAGCTGGTGGGTTTGAACTGCTGACCTTTTGGTTAGTAGTTCAGTGCCCATCCTACAGTGCCATACCAAGACTCTCCCGGGAGTTATCGAACCCAATTAAACCTCCTTGTGAAATTAACTCAATAGGTCAACAACAGTCTGGATCAACACAGAAACTGTAGGGTCTGGAGAAATCAGCTAATACCAAGTTAGCCCACATCAAGAGAGATGAGCAATTAATGTTGGGCGCCCACTCCTGGACAATCCGGGAAGCATGCTTTGTGTAAAGATCGAGGAGTCTGTATACTGTACAATGGGGTCTCAAAGGAGGAGATGGATGGGCTCCCACCAAGGAACTCAGGGCCAGGGACCAGCTGCCAGGAGTTTGCAGCAGCCCTACCAGGGTCCCCAAAGTGACTGAGTCTCTTTGACTTAGACAAATGCTGTTCCCTCCAGTGAACTGGAGATGAATAGAAGCCATACCTCCACCCCAACCTTTACCAGATCTCTTACTTTCGCAGGGTGAGTGGAGGCTCTAAGCCAAGACCCGAGTTCACTGGAGGAGGTGCGGGATACATGCATGTTTTGGGCCTTTAGGATACCAGTGCTCAGACACTGGCCCTGGAAAGAGGGAACTAGACACTGCTCTCCAGTCGGGGGTGTGAGGGCAGTGGCAGCCCAGCCATGCATAATCCTTCAGACCACTGCCTTGTATCGCCCCCTACTGGATGCATTGTGGGTACTCATATATTGCCTGGGCACACCCATACTTACCTTCACTCCCAAGCCCTGATGGGGAGTGCTGCTTTAGGACCATCCTGTGAGACAGATGGAAGACAGTGAACTGACCCAACTACCTAAGCCTGGCACTGCTGGCTCCCCAAAAGAATATTATGGGGCTATCTGGCGAGGAAAAGTGCGGGGTATCTCAGAATAAAAATAGAGCAAGGTTGTGATGCAGAGGATGAACTCAGCGATGTGCATGCATTTTAGGCCGTCACGTAGGAGAAGGAAAAGGAGGAATTAATCACAGTAATTATATTTCCTAAACCCTGTGGCAACTTTGGAGTCCTGGTGTGGTGCTGTGGGTTAATGCATTGGACTGCAAGGTTGGTTTGAAATGCAAGGTCAGTGGTTCATGCTCACTAGTTAGTTGCTCCTTGGAAACCCTATACAGTGTTGCTGTGAAGCAGGACAGACTTGACAGCACTTCACAACAACAACAGTGGCAATTTAAGCTCTGAGACACATTATTTTTAATTTTTTTTTTTTGGGGGGGCGATATTTCTTTGATTCATTGTTCTATGTATCATTGAGAAACTAAAAACTCTGCTAACTGACTCGGGATACAATGTTTTCTTTTACTCAAACTTCTTACTTTATAAATAGGAGTGATTTTAGATTACCCTTGTTCATGTAGAGAAATCAGATATTTGCAAACAAAATTACAAAATACCCTGAGGTCATATTCAGGCTCTCCTCCGTGTCTGGACTCCTAGGATAGCAGTTTCTAGTCTTTGTCATTGTTATCAAGTGCCATTGAATTGGTTCCAAATGATGAAGACCCTGTGTAGGGTTTCTGAGGAGCAGCTGGTGGGTTTGAACTGCTAACCTTGTGGCTCACAAACCAGTGCTGATCCTACAGTCTAGTAGCTACTGGTAACCTATGGGCTTCCTAGGCTTATAGATTTCTCTGCCTCCAGGATCATATGGCTGGTCTTTTGTGCATGTGCCCATTTCTGTATGCCCTCCTCTCTTATGTTTATGTTGGTAAGTGATGTCGAGTTGGTTCCGACTCATAAAAACTCTGTACAGGGTTTCCAAAGAACAGTTGGTAGGTTTGAACTACCAACCTTGTGCTTCGCAGTCCAGTGCTGATCCTACAGCGCCACTCCAGGACATTGAAAAACAAAAAAAAAAGACAAAATACAGATCAAGTCTACTGCCATGGTGTAGATTCAGACCCTGTGTAGGGTTTCTGAGGCTGTAACCTTTACCACAGCAGAAAGCCCCCTCATTCTCCTGTGAAGCAGACCCCTACCCTTACTCTGCTGTGACCTCATTGATAACATTCTAAAAAAGAGAGAAAAAAGAAAGTTCTATATCCCCCAAACAAGGTCACACTCATAGGCACAGGGTTTAAGAATCCAACATACCTTTTTGAGTCTGCGCAGGTTTTCAGTGGTTGATTTTTCAGAAGCAGGCTGCCAGGCCTTTCTTGCAAGGTACCTCTGGGCAGATTAGAACCTCCAACCTTCCAGGTGGCAGCTTAGCGCATTAATCATCCGCATTCCCTATGGACTCCATTTCTAGGGGAGGGGAGCACATTCAATCCCTAACAGGAACTGTCTACCTTTTCCACTATGTCTGGACTCTTGGTGCGGCACTGTAAGATAAGCACTGGAATGCTAAATGACAAGGTTGACAGTTCAAACCCACCAGTTGCTCTTTGGAAACTGTATAAGGGTCACTATAAGTTCAAACAGACTCAACAGCACTCATCAACAACAACCTGTCTTAGTTCTGTGGTCTTCCATTTCTAGAATACACCGTGCCTTTCCCAGTATCTTTCTGAATGGGCAGTCTTTGCCTGTATTTTGTCTCCTGTCATGGTGACCTCATTGTAGTCCAGCGTCCTCTCAATCTGCGATTGTGGAAGGGGTAGTGAGGTGGGCTCCCGGTATAACGCTGAGCACAGCAGACAGCAGACAGATGAGGCAGGGCAAGTACCAGACTCCAGCCCGTGGTGCTTCGGTCAATAATTGAGTAAGGGCGGATTTGGGGATAGAAGACTTCAGGACACTGTTTATCCACCGGGTTGACAACGGTGGCTGCACATTCCTAAGTGTCACTAACTAGTTATATGACCTTGAGCAAGTTAGTCCTTGGGACGCAGGGTCTCCTTTGGACCATGAAAGGGTTTGCCGAGCGGTCCTTCCGAGGCCCCCAGCTGTAATGTCTCTAGTAAATGATTCAGCGTCAGGTGTGCACTTTACTTTCTGCGTGGAGAATTTCCATGACTTTGGAAGCTTTTGTGATTTCAAAGCTGACTTTGGTTGCTGGGAATCCAGGCTGCTTCTCGTGGGCTTGTTATATTGATACGTTTTTCATTTCCCTTAAAGACTTTGATGGGCATTTCCAGTGAGAGCGTGGCAAAAATAAAATCCTGCTTTCTCTTCTCACGTTTTTTTCATCTTCATCCTTTGTCAGTGGAAATATTGCTGTTTGTCACTTCAACACTTTGCTGTGACACTTGACTCCTTGCTAGGGGTCTTTGAAGTTCCTCTCAGACTGAAGGCCTTTGCTCATCATTCTCCAGGGATGTTCCTTTTTGCCAAAAAAAGAGATAAGGTGAGGCTGTTTAAGGCTTAAGCAGGTCTCCAGGCAGTCTCCTTGTCTTTCTACTAAAAAGAGCGACATTCAGTTAGGGGACTAAGACTTGGAGAGGAAACTGCTGCGGAGCTCCGTGGCTCGTGCTGCTCCATTGTTGTCATCTGCTGTGAGCTGGCTTCTGGGAGAGTGGACCCATGTCCTCTTGCTGGACAGTCTCAGTAACCCAGCAACCCCCCGCTCCCCGGTGTGGGGACAGCTGACCTGGCTACCCCTTCCAGAGGAGCAGTGTAGGTGACAAGCATGGAATGAAGCTGTCATCTGTGAGAAGAGAGACCTCGATTACCCAACAGGCTATCTGACTTTCCTGGAGCCTTGGTGTGGCATTGCAGGGTAATGCTCTAGACCACAAGGTTGGTTTGAACTACAGGGTCAATGGTTCAAACCCACCATCCTCTCCTCGGAAACCCTATACAGGGTCACTACGAGTCGGAACTGAATCAACATTTAACAATAACATACAACTTTACAGAAGGTGAATAAAGAAAGATTTTTGGTTATCTCTACTGAGTTTATTTTCCCCAAATCCCAAACCTGGGGGTGTGAGGGTGGGCGAG